TGAAGGAACCCCTAATGACCAAATCTAGGAAAACTTGACCTATTATTGTGTTATAATCTGAAGAAAAAATAAATTTCTATATTAATATAAAAAATTGAATAAATAAGTAAACAGAGGAGAAGGTAAGCTCTTAGAGCAGAATTCCAATGAATAAATGTAGAGGTAATCATTGGGAAAACTTCACAGTTGTGGTTGTAAGCAAGAAACATCAATTGATGCTAAAATTAGTGGGCAAAATATGATGAGAAATAGGATATTTGCATAATCTCAAATATTTTATTTCTCCTGTTGGGGAGATAATCTCAAAGTATCTCCCCAACAAGATTACATATTAGTATATTACAAAGGGAAAAATAGTAACTTTGCAGTGAAAAAAAAAAGCAGACACTACCTTAACTATATGATCACAGTTAACATTACAAGTAATGAGCTATACTGGCATCAATATCCCCCAAAATGATGTGCTGAGAAGGGCACATCAGTTTAGTGGTATTCTTACCCCAAAATGCATGCATATGTGGATCTTCTCATAAAAGATCCAACTGAAATTGAGTGACATGTACAAAATCACTGGCTTGAATTTTTCGAAAGGGTCAAGCTCATGAAAGACAAAGAAACTGAGGAACTGTCACAGATTGAAGGATACTAAGAAAACATGACAGTTAAATGCAGTGAGGGATCTTGGACTGGACCCTGGGTAAAGAGACATAGGTAAAAACCGGAGAAATTCAAATAAAGTCTGTACATTAGTTAATAGTGTTACACTAATGGTAATGTTCTGATTTTCATGATTCTTCTATAGTAATATAAGATGTTAATATTAGGTCACACTGAGTACAATTCTCTGTACAATTTCTGTACTTTTCTCTAAGTTTAAAATTATTTCAAATAAATAAACATATAGTGTGATGTTTCTCTAGCATCTTCTGAAGGTGACTAAGGTTTTAAAACCACGATGTTTATGAACTTAAGAATTTAAACATATTTTATTTGTTGTAATTCATTATAGGTAAAAATTGTCCCATCTTTGACCAGTGGTAACATATTCAGGTTGGATCCTGAATCCTTTTGACATAATCCTAATAGCATACTCATAATAGCTTCCATACTTTGTAATATCTAAAGATATTTGTACATTTTATGCACCAGACCTAGAATCACTGATTTCTCCCAGAACTCCTAGTACCTGGTCTTTAGAGAACATAATATGTGTGCTAGAGGTGCTAATTTTGCTGTTAGCCATTGTTCTGGAGCACTTTCTATGAACAAAGGTAGAAAATATTTTTTGCTTGTTTTAAAGATAAACTACACCATGAATTTATACTGATGCATCCAGTTCATACTTAGAACCAACTACTGAATTTTGATTTAACTTCATTGGCCTACATTTTTATTTTCTTTCAATCATGTTACAAAATCTTGCTTTTCAATGATGCCAACATAATTACTCATTTGATGCACACAAAGCAGTCTCAGAATATTGATTCCAATATTTAAACCAATAATATAATTGCTGAACATTGTACACACATGCATACATGTGCATATTTGATTTACTTATGACCTTAAGGTATGTCCTACTAAGGATGTATTGCCAAATTACTTGTTTTATAGCCAGTTGAAATAGTTTATCTCTGTGTGGTTATGCCACCAATTGGATATATAACCAAATTCATTTGCCTCCGTTTTCTTTTTTTTTTTTTTTTAGGGATATATTACTATTTAAATTGTTTTGTGACCGTGTAAAATATTTATTGGTTGGTCCTAAAATAAAATTATAAAGAAACATTATGTCAAAAGAAATCTAGCTTCTCAGTTTACCCCTTCCACACTAGTCCCTCGATCTGCATGTAGGTAACCATTAAAATAATATGGTTTGGGTTTCCATTTTGTTTAAATGTGTGTGTATATGAATCCGTAGAAAATGTTAACAAATATACATGTTTTCTCTATCTTGCTTGTTTTCACTGAATATCTTAGAGATTACTCTGGAGAAATACTAGACATATGCTTCATTCCTTCCTACAGCTGCATAACGTTTACTAGCCTATTCAACCAGTCTCTTACTAATGGACATTTGGGTTGGTGCTGGTCTTGGGCTTTACAGATAGTGTTAACATAGGTTATTTTTTGGTGTTGATTTGGCAGGGCCTTCGAGGAGTCAGGGTGAGGTTGCTGGGGCACTGGGTTCCTCTCACATGGTCAGGGATTTACCCTGGATATCCCAGAATGGGATTCCCATTCTACTGGAACTGTAGTAGTAGGTGAATCCTGGTTCCTGGACACTTGGTAGTAAGAAGTACTAAAATTGTGTTTGTCATGAAGTTAGCATGAGATGAGGGTTCTTGGTGATGGAGGAGAAGAGAATATGGTGCTAGACAATGATCAGCCCATGCAAAATGCACTTAAACTCTCAGATGCCTAGTTTTCCTTTGGGAAATTGTAATCCAGGATATTCTACCTTCTTTTATGTCCCATGTCAGTGCTATAGTAGGGTTATTACTGTTTTTAAGGCATTAATAACACTGTTTCTGACAAGTCCTGTCTGTTTTCTGTCCCCATCCTAACTTGTTTCTCCTTGTATTATCCTTAAATCAAATTGTCCTATAGCTTATGCTGGCTCTGCAATAATGACGTAACTTTTTTGGCATAAACCACAGTGTGCTTGTCTTCATCCTACCTTTCTGACTGTTCCTTCTCAGTATTTTTCTCTGCCTGTCCTGTAAAGTTGGTGTACCCCAAGTGCCCATTCTTGGCCTTCGTCTCAGGAAACTCTTTTGGGTCTCTGATCTTTCAGAGAATTCAATGAAAACTACGGATTTACTTTTTTTTGTAGAAAAACATATATTTCTACCTATGTACAAACGTGTATATTATTTCAAGGGGTTCGTGGACACTCCTCTCTGAAGACAAGTTCAAAGACATTTGCTCTCATACCCTGGGCTTCCTCTCTGAGGACCTTCATTTGCCATCTAATTACAATGACCCCCAAACCCATATCTCATGCCCAGACTTCTCTCCATTGGAGAACGGCCTCCAGGTCATCCCTATGTGTAGGATATGTCTATAACTGAGGTTGCCCTCTCCCTCCCATGAGTCTGCTTTTCCTCCCATGTCCCAATGGGTGGCTGCATCATCTAGCTTGCTGACCAAGCCACGACTCAGAGGGCATCCTTGGCTTCTTCCCTGTCACTCTCCCCATCTAATCAATGATATTTAAATGGGAGCAAGACCCATTTCTTTCTCCCATGCCACAGTCATAATTCAGGCCACCATCATCATGCACCTGGATAGCAATAGCAGCTTCCTAACTGTTGTCCCGGCCTCTTGAATGAACCTCTCCCCTGCTGGGTATCTACTCTTACATAGTAGCTAGTAAGATCTTGCTGAACTGCAATCTGATGATATCACTCCCCTGTGATAACTCTTCAAAAGCTCTCCTGTTGCCCCCCTGACAGGCTTTAGCATGACAAAAAAGCCCTCATTGCTTGCTCCCTGGGGATTCCAACTGCTATATCTCATTTTATCCAGGATTTCTGCACTGGTGGGAGCCAAGGTGAGATTTGATACAAAACTTTATTTTACAAAAGCCTCATAAGCCATCCAAACAGGTTCAGTAATCACCAAATACAACAGGGCTGAAGCCAGAGGGTGGGGCCAGACCACAGTTTCTGAGCAGCTCCTGTATGCAAGGAAGTCACTGCAGTGGAGGCAGTGATGAGGAAAACAAGGTTTTGCCCCGAGGACCTTATCGTCCATAAAGGGAATAAAGGGTGGAAAAAAGAGGCATGCTCCAAATGAACTATTGAAGAAAACAAACATGTAGATGTCTTTTTTTTTTGAGACAGAGTCTCACTCTGTTGCCCAGGCTGGAGTGCAGTGTTGTGATCTAGGTTCACTGAAACCTCTGTCTCCCAGGTTCAAGAGATTCTCCTGCCTCAGCCTCCTGAGTAGCTGGAATTACAGGTGTGCTTCACCACGCCAGGCCAATTGTAATATTAGTAGAGACGGGGTTTCACCATGTTGGCCAGGCTGGTCTCGAACTCCTGATCTCAAGTAATCGACCCACCTCCCTAAGTGCTGGGATTACAGGCGTGAGCCACAGTGAGAGGCCAAGAAAACAAATGTGTATAGATGTCTACCACGTGCCAGGCATGTAACATAAAGCAAAATGCAATTAAATGTCACAGAAAGGGAAAGTACCATGGGGCTGCAAGAGCAAAGAGAGAATTTCCAGTTGAGGTAGATTAGCAAGGTCTTCACGGAAGAGAAGTGCTTGAAGAAGACTTACTTGAAGAGCAGGCAGGGGATGGACATGCAGAGAAGAGGCCAGGGCCTGGAGACCCTCCAGGCAGATGTAGCCACAGGTGCAAAGATATGGCCTGTGTCCTTTGAAGTTAACCCACAACCCTGGGGGTTTCTGCTCTCACCTGGGCTCCAGCCTCCAGACAGTTGAAAGCTTCTGGAAGCCAAGGGATGGCACTACTTGCATGTTTCTACATTCTAATAAAACACTGAAGAGGTTCTGAGGTTTATCCCAGTACAGCCGTTGACCATTTCACAGATGGCCAGAGTGGAGTCCAGAAGAATTCAATTAAGATTTTCAAATATATAGTCGTGGAGGATAGAGACATTTTCTGCCCTTTGGAAGCAGAGCTATTGGCTTTGGAAATTCAGAAGAATAAGTGATCCCTTTAAATTTGGATGTGAGGTGGTAGTCAAGGAAGGCTTCTTGGAAGAGGTATGAGTTGAGCAGAAACCTAAAATGGGGGTAGGATTTATATAGGTTGGAAAGCAGAGGGGGAAACCCCAGGTGTAGGAAAAGCACAGGCGTGTTCAGGGGACAGTGAGGACTCCAAGTGGGGCCTGGAAAGGGGCATCCAGTAAGGCTGATGTGGAAATAAGGCTGATGTGGAAATAAGGCTGATCAGTAAGTGGGGGCCGGACATTGGCCTCAAATAATGGAATCGCTCCTCTGTGCTTGCTCTGTGTTCCACCAGGACCAGCTACTCTTCTGCGATGACTGTGACCGTGGCTATCACATGTACTGTTTAAATCCCCCAGTGGCTGAGCCCCCAGAAGGTAATGACGATGAGGCCAACAGTAATACCAGCAACAATAGTACTCGTAGCACTTACTGAGCCCTCACCATGGCACAGGCCTTGTACTAAAGGCTTTACATGTCCTTGTCTTGTCTCATTTAATCATCACAACCCTACAAGGTAGGTATGACAACTGCCATTTTACAGATGAGGAAACTGAGGCACAGTCCCAGCAGCTGAAATTTCAACTTGAGGGCCAAGGAGGTTTTTCCCGGACATTCAGTGGAGAGGATGGGGAGTGAGCTTCTGGGGGACCTGGTGCAGGCCCGGTGACACTAGTTGGAGCATGACCAGGGAGTGAGTGTCCTGATCAGAGCTGAGCCCATCTCCTCCAAGCACCTGCTTTCTGCTGAGCCACAGACGCTGCCATGTTTTCAGGCCTGAAACTAGGTTTCTGCATGACGAAAGTCCAAAGAAAACAGGGTTTACAAGAAGTTAGGACCACTGGGGTGGGGCCCCAGAGTCAGGAGAGGGGCTGCTACTAAAGCCATCTCATTTCTTGCAGGAAGCTGGAGCTGCCACTTATGCTGGGAACTGCTCAAAGAGAAAGCCTCAGCCTTTGGCTGCCAGGCCTAGGGCCCCAGGTCACAGAATGTGACTTGCTGCTGGAGAGGCTAAAGCAGAGCCCAGTTCAAATCAGAAGGCGCCCTCCTCCCACATGTCCAGACAGACTGACTGTAAGGAAAAGAAATAGTCTCAGAGGGGCACAGACACATGGAACCAAGAGGGTGCGGCGTCTCCCAGCCTCCCCCTATACATGCGGGACTGCGGCCAGCACCTCCTCATCTCCACCGGAAGGAAGCTGCACTCTGGAAGGACACCCCAGACCCAGACCCGTGGAACCCTCTCACTGTCACCCCAGCACTGAGGCCCTCTCCTTTCTTCCCAGTTGAAGGGAAGCCATTTCGTGACGATTCACCCATCACTTGTGTGTAGTGTGGTGTTTTTTATCTGTTGTGTTCCAAGAAGTCTTCGCACAGCCTCCGCCCCCTCCCCCCAGCTTAGGCTCTTCATCCTGAAACTCACCAGCGGAACAAAGGGCTGTGGAGAAGTTATCGTTTATGGCAAGCCTCGCTGGAAACTTCTAGACTCAGAGACTTGAAACCCCTCCTTGTTCCTTGGAGTTGTCTTGGAGACAGAGAGTTGCCTTCTAGAATGCAGCAGTGGCATCCACAGCCAGCCCGGTCTCCATCCACTGTGTTAAGTTACTAGATGGGGGTGGAGAGGGAGGGAGAGGCCCAGAGACATGGAGGAAATGTGGCGGAAGTGGTGCCAAGGCCCCGCCATAGCCAGTCAGTATTTGCTATCCATCGGGAGAGACTCTGCAAGAGGCCTGGCTGGTTCCTTGACCTTCAGAGCTGGGCATCCTCTAGGTGAGACCAGCCAAAGTCTATGGACAGAGGAAGATGGTCCAGCCTCTGCCTCTCAGCCCACCTGAGTCTGGAGACCTGGTTTAGCTTCCCCTGGTAGGACTCAGGAACCAGGAAGGGGAGCGTAGGCTGCCCAATCATGTGTCCGAATGCTGGATACAGAGGGCTGCAGCTTTGAGAAACCTTCAGTATTGATCCGACGCTCTGAATTCCTTTTCCCAAGTAATTTCTTCCTTCCATGTGGTGTATATTTGCTATTGTCTACTGAGCCCTGACTGGGAATTTTAGGATGGGAGAGAGATGATTGTTATCTAAACAAATAATTGGGGTGAGGTGGTCATGATTCGCCACCAGGGTGGCCACGTGTTAGAACCCTCAGGGCGAGGGCTGCTGTTGTTTCTGAAGCTCCCCAATACATGCAGGACTCTCACTTTCCAAAAATTGTGTCTAGAAAGGTGGGGAGGCTGCGCTTCCGAGAACTCTGTGCGTTGGAAGATAGCCCTGAGGGTTGGAGTGGATTGGGCTGACTTTGAATCGAAGCAGCAGCGCAATCACTGACATATTTCTGGAAAAATCATTTGCCCAAAGGGCAGGTCTCAGTGAGTGGGACCCTTGCGCATGCCTGGCTTCTCTGAAATCAGCTCCATCTCAGTGGTCCAGCTGCTTACAACAAAGGCCCGGGTTATTTTTAGCTCTTCGTCTCCTGAAGAAGCTCCCAGAGACTGTGGCTAGTTGGGCCACTTCTGCTCAGCGGCAGCATTTGTGCCGTCCCTCAGCGGGAGTGCTCCTCTCCAGGCTAATTGCTCTTGGCCAGTGGACCCAGGGCAGCCTGGCATGGAACCAAGCAGTGTGGGTCTCCCCCATGCCTCTGCAGAGTGACCTGTGGCAAGAGACAGGGGTCACTCTCCTGCAGGGCTCTGTGGTCTCAGAGTGAATCACATACATACATAATGGTCTCATTTAAAGGGCCCCTGTCTGGATGGAAGTTTAATCTTCCTCATAAGTAATTTCCTTCTGCCTGCTGGTCGGTGAGCTCGTCTGGATCCTGGAGGGACCAGGAGGGTGACATTACATCAGAGGGGCACATTTTCTCTCCTGACTACTCCAGCTCTCTCTCTTCCCACAAAACCCAAAGCAGGCTGTCTCCAAAGGCTAATGATGGGTTTTAAGAGTCATTTTAATTTAAATTTAGAAAAAAAAATGTCCCAAATATTCCCAAATGCCACAATAGCTTAAAAGTTTAAAAAGCAAGTCTGAAACCCCAAATTGTGGCTCCACGACTTGACAGGTCCTCTTTGGAGTATGTGCAAATTTGTTTTTCACAGAAGTGCAGGTGATGGGGCACCCCCATTCTCTCGCAGCCCCACGTCTGCTAAGGATGAGCCTAAGCCAGGTCTCAGGGCTCTGGGACTTGCCTGCAGTGGTGAGGGTCAGGGCTCTCGAGTGACATTAGGAGGGCCCTAGAGTTCCCTGCTTGCTTCATTACTTGCAGAATGGGCCCAACCCCTTCACCTTTGGAGGCCTCAGTTTCCCCATCTGGAAAGCAGGGATAGCAATGCCAACTGATGGGCTGGCACTGTCAGGGTCCTGCAGCAGACAAAAGCCTTCACGGCCACAGTGATTGCCTCTGTGTTGAAAAGAGGACGGCATTGGTAAACTTTAAATTGGTCTCTTTTTTTTTCGAACCCCAGATAATGAGCTAGAATCATAGGATGCATGTGAAGGATCAGGGTTTTTGTGTTGCCTCTGCCATTGTGTAGCTGCGTGACGTTGGGCAAGACACCAAACTTCCCTGAACCTCAGTTTGCCCACCTGGAAAATGGAGATTGTAACACTGGCCTTGCCTATGCCAGAGTGACATTGGGAGTCTTAAGCATCATGTTACATCAACAAGCACTGCAGAATCTTGCTCGTCTGGGAAGACCACCACAGGTTTTCCATGTCCACTTTCTTGTGTGCATTAGCCAATGTCAGATGTCTTCTTGGTATGCCCCTTGTGACCAAAGGGGGTTTCTATTGCCAGGGCTGGGCTGCCCATGGTCAGGGTCCTGGCAAAAGCTGAGACCAAGGACATCACAACTTGCATGGGCTATGGGGTGGAGGTGAGGGATGTACCATGGGGTTGGGGATTTAAAAATGAAGATGCTCAGGATATTCCCTTCTGTAAGATCAATGCAGTTTAGAAGGGAAAGGTGACTTCTAGAGAGGGCTATGACTCCTTTCAGTTCATGGGTAATGCTCACTTTCGGACCAGCACTGCCACTTTCTAGCTGACTGACGTTGGGCCAATGACTTTACCTCTCTGAGCCTCATCTCCCATGTCTGTAAGGTGGGGAAATGTGGCCTATCCAGCGTGGTTTTTGCAGGTATTCGAGGTGACGTTGGTAAAGATCCTGGTGTGGGTCTGGCATGATGATGGATTCCACTCCATGGTGGCTATTGTCATTTTCTGCAGAGGCCACCAAATGGAGATGATGTGGTTGTCATCCAGCTCAAATTCCGGGAACAGCCAGGAGACCTTTTCTGGGCTTCACCCCTCTGTGTTGTGGCTCCAGCAGACCAGAGAGGTGAGGCTGCAGGATCCAAGCCGGAAGTGGAAATCCTGTTTCCTGTCGGCATTTTTGAAACCCTGCATTTTGGACCTGTAGCAAATCCAGTGTGGGCAACATTATGTGGAAATAGAAACAGGGCTCCTGCTAGGAGAGTGACATTATGGCTTTCCTTCGGAATTGCTCACTGACTCATCGCCCCTGAAGCAGAAGCCATCAGGTCCCAAGGCTCCCTGGCTCCTGTCCCTGCCCCAGGGCGAGGTAGGAAGCCCAGGCAGGCTGAGCCCAGCCAACTGGAAGCAGGGAAGAGCCCATGGGTGGGTGGAAGGGAGGGGAGGCCAGATTCCTTCAGAGCTGGGGAAGATAATAGGTTTCGAAGCTGGGGGTGGGTTTGGGTTTCACAGTGGTGGTTTCATGATACCCTGGAGCGTTACACACTCATGGTGCATTTTTGTCTTCGTGCTTTGAATATAGCTCATTCCCTTTCAACCCTCTGCTTAAAAAGTTCCTATGTTTTAAGGAAGAAAAATGAGATGATTGTTATTACTTTTCCTTTGGGGGCAAGGCGAGGAGACCTGCACTGTGCCGCTGAAGAAAGATTGCTGGCAACCTCAGGCTTCAGGACTCAAAGAAGAGGGGCTTCTATCTCCTCTTTGGGTCTGTGTGTGAGGGAGTGGGGGGTTGCGCTGCCCTTGGCCCAGGGCGGGCCCTGAGGACCACATCCCTGCCCCCCAGGCTGGGTTTTAGCCTGTGTGGAAGTGCTGGGACAGGAACAGCCCCTTCTTCTCTCACTCACTGGCTACCCTCCCTGGCCCTTCTTAAGGGGGGTTCCAATGTCACAGCCCAAAGGAGAAGTTGGCTCTGGCCAGAGCCATGCTCACACTCCCATGGAAGATGCCATAAGTCCCAGGCCTGGCTCTTTGTAGCAGTAGTGACTTGGTGTCCCTTTTAGCAGGCTCCTACCATGGGGAGGGAGTGAGACAGAAGGGGCTGGGGAAGGGAGGGTGGGTATTTGGGAGGGGCGAGGATCTCTGGGGGAACAAGGCAGGGAGCTGGATGTCCCCAGGTAAAGATCCTGGAGCTTAGGAGTGGGAGGGCATCAGGTGGGTGTGATTGTAACCTTTTTTTTTTCCCCTCAGGCCTGTGATCCTGGGCAACAGATCATTTACTTGTTAAAAAAGGTCAAATCTCTGCCCAATTCTGGACACAGATTCAGCTCCCTCTCTCTTGAGGCCCCCGGTTGGTTGTGTGGGGTTTTAGGGATGTTTCTGAGAGCAAAGCAGGCCCCTCATCCAGCTGGGGGGAGAGAGAGATGGCAGTGAGGGAGGGCTAGATCGTGCCTGCAGCCTTGGGGAGTGAAGCCGTTCCAGGCACTGCTACCAGAGGGCTCAGGCCCCTCAAGGCCAGGACACCAGTAGCCGAGAAGAGGAGTGGAAGCCTGGCCAGTCCTGCCCCTCCGCTCCCTGCAAAGTGGACGGAGCTCCTCCACTCCCTGCTGTGTGTTACCCTGCCTGAAATCTTACTCCCATCTCCAAAGCATGCTTTTGGATACCAGGTGAAGGGGAAGGATAGCAGTGGTGATGAACAGATATTTTACTTTGTCTCAGGCCTATGATTCTCCCTACCTGATCCCCAGCTTGCCGTAGAGTCTAACTGATCCGTGTTGAGAAGGTGGGCTCCACAGCTGTCTGCGGGTTGGGGCCCCCTCCCCCATTTCTGAGCGTTCCCAGGGTTTGGGAGTCTGTTTATGATTCTCTGCCAGAGGCCACGGCCACCAGCCCTGACTGTGGAAAGAGCGGGACAGATGGCCTTTGGGTAGCTGGCGGAGGGGCTTGGAGAGCTGGGAACCCCTTTCTCGGGAGGCTGGAGACCCTCTGCTCTGAGTGGACAGCTGAGAGGGAGGCAGGGGGAAGGAGGGGAGAGGAAGCTGTGGGTGCTGCCTGCTGGCCACCCGGGCTGTGGGAGGACGGACAGCCTCCCAGGCAGACTGAGTGGGAGCTGGCTTGGAGCCTCTGAGCAGCTGTCCCCCAGGGAGGCCTGGCTGTGCAGCAGGCGCCCCCTCCATGTGCGCAGCCCAGGCACTTGAAGAGAGGCCCAAAGGAAGTGCCGCCAGGAAATTTGAGGAGGAGGAGGGGTCTGGGCTTGCCAGTTCCCTACCAGGGGGTTTTCCAGAAGGAACAGGGAACTCCCTGCATGAGGGCAAAGTTTTGGAAGTGAGTGGGTTCCCGGAAAGGCTCTCTATCTCTGGGTTCTGAGTGTGCCCTGGCTGTGAGGAGGTCCTGAGGTGACTCCCTAGGACCCTTGGTTCCAGCTTCCATTCCCGCTCCTTCTCTTTCTCTGCTCCAGTGCTGGCCTCAGATCGCAGGGCAGGTGGCCTTGAGAGAGTGCCCTTCCACAGTGTCCCCCTCTTGGCCCCACCAAGAGAAGGAAGTATTTTGCTGATGGTGACATTTCCCAGGGCAGGCCAGAGGAAGGCAGGAACCAGGACTGGCAGGCAGCCAGAACCCTCTCGGACACAGATATAATTACTCATCATGACCTCTAGCCCAGGCAGTGAGCAAAATGGCCCTGCCGGCTGGCACCAACCCTGTCTAGCAAATAAACGCGGCTGTGGGGGGACGGGAAGGGCAGGTCAGTGGGCCCAGTAGGAAATGGGAGAGGCCCACAAGCCCCTGGGCCTCTACATTCCCTCAGCAACACAACCCTACAGACCCCCAGGTTAGATTGTCACTCACTGCCTCCCGCTTGCTCATTTGCTTGCCTCTCTGCATCTGTTACTCGTTTCAGTGTTATGAATATTGATGATGAGAACAGGGATGCCCATGTGCATGTGCGCGCACGCACACACACCCTGCTTAATGAACTCAAGGGAAACTTTGATGTTGCTCCAGGACTTGAGGGAGAGCCAGGGGCTGCCAGGCAAGGTGCATCTTTCCCGAAGTCTTCTCCAGTCCCGCTCCCCCAGCTCTCAGCTCTGGCACAGCCGCAGGGGTTGCGAAGGGAGTCTTGTGCTGTGCTTGGAAAGGCCCTGGCTCCATGACCTCTCCCCTTCTCTTCCCTTCGTTCACCTATGTGTCTTTTTGGGAGAGATATTTGACAATAGTTGGAGACTTGAAAAGTCTCAATTCTGCTATCAAAGGGATGCAAAGCTTTCATGGCTAGAATTGGGGTTGTGGGTTTTATGGACTTGGTTTGCCCTTCCACGTCTACTCCCCACTGAGACCTTGATTCTCACCCTGCCCTCTCCCTTCCCTGCACTGCTTCCTCCCTTCCCTTTACCATGCTAGATGCTAAGGGGTGGAGGTGGGAAGTGGGAAGCAACAGTGGCATAAAGGAAAAAGAAAATATACCCCGTGCACATTTTCAACATGTAGTTGAAGAGGCCTAAATTAGGTACTAGAAAAAAAAGGAAAGAAACATTGCCTGATATGTGAGTGAGAGAATGAAAATATAGAACGATTATCTCAGAACAGAGGAGGTGGGGAGCAGGTGGCTGGAGAGAGGCGGGGTAGGTAGGCAGGGTGTCCCTGGCTCACCAATGCAACTGGTCCACATGGCATTTGGGAAAGCAGACGGGTCATGCTTAGGGGGCATTTGTGTTCCTCAGGCTGGGAAGGGGAACAGAGTCCACTGGAATTGTCCCCCACTCATCTGCCATGTTTGTCCACTCTTGGGGGTTCTCCTCTGAAGGAAAATGAATCCATCTTTTGCCTGCCATGAGTCATTGCAGGGCAGGCTGTTACTGGCTAATTTAAAACCCCTGGCAGGGCATCGACTATGTGCAGGGCAATGCTCTAGGTCCTGTAGGGGCTGGAAAATAAACCACATCCTGGCCTAGCCTTCAAGTTGCTTTTCAGCCATAAAATTAAACTCTGCCAAGGAATCATGACTGCAGGTCAAGTCTCGCGCCACCACGGAAGGTGTATGTATATGTAGGTTTCTCTGTTGAGCATGTGTGTTCATCAGTAGAAGAGAAGCAGGTAGGAGCATCCAGTGATTTCTACCCTGTGGAGCTTGGGGGGTGGGAGGAAGAAAACAGATGACTTCAGCCTAGTTGCTTTCATTTGCTTTTTAAAGCACTAGATGCCCTTGGATAATGGCGTCCTCGGCACTAAAACTGGTGAACCGAAGAAGGTGCTTGGGCTGGAGTGTTGGGCAGCCAGTGCCCCAGTGCTGCTTGTGGGGTCCTGGGCTGGAAGGCAGACAGGTGCAACTGGCAGGGCCTGATCAGAGGCAGAAAACGACCCCCACAGTGGTCTTCTCTGTGCTACAGAAAGCGGGGGTGGGGTGGGGGAGCTTCATGCACAGATTGGGCACACTCCACCAGACCCCAGCAAGGTCGGCTGCACCATGCTTCCGTCTAGCACTGCAGGTGTGCGCAGGGATGAACCCAGCATCAGAGAAGTTTTCAGCAAACCTTCCATGTTCACCTTTGGCCAGGTGCTTGTCAGATCCTAGCTTTATGCTGCCTTAGACTCTCTGTTGTTTGTGTTGACAGCATTGGGAAGAAACCATTTGTTTCGGCTTTCCTTTTCTCCGCACGTGTCACCGCCAGATTTTAGCTTTGAGTTATTCCCTGAAGAAGCCACACCAAGCTTGCTTTCAAGCATAATGCCTGGGCTTGGGGGAAGGCATGTATCTGTCCATGTGTGGATGTCGGCTCAGAGCTGTAGCTCCTCTGTGGGGGTGGCCTGAGGGAAGGCTCCTCTGGGGCCCTGGGCGGCACATGGCTCCCAGGGTGGGGGTGGGAATTCTGGTGATATCTGTGGAGGTAGTCAGGGACATAGGCTTTGCTGTGAGTCTGGTTTTAAAGTGCTTGAGAGCTTGAAAAGCATGTACGTTGGGGTCTGATCACTCACCTACTTGAAAGTCGGTGAGCAAGGCTCCTCTGAATGGCCCTGCTGGTGGAAAGGGTGAGGCAAAGGCCTCTGACTTGGACTCTATACAGACTACACTGGCAGCACTGCCCCCAGGCAGCCAGCAGTTGACCCTAAGCCCTCAGGTCCCCAGCTCCTCGAGGGACGAACCTGGGAGCCCGAGAGCCTGTGGCTGAGCTCTGAGAAGGCCCCATCTCCCACCTGCCCTAGAGTGTGCTCTCAGGCTGAGCACATGGTCTGATCTGGCACCTTCCAGGCCTGATGCTGTGCTGTCTGTGTCACACGGTCAATTCACAAAAGCCAGAACTAGTCCTCAACCAGGTCGGCTCCCCCTTGTCAATTGGGTTCAGGCTAAGGGCAATTTTAAAGCCTGGTTTCTCTCTTAGCCAAGAAATGGAGCATCTCTGCTAAGAAGTCAAAAGAAATTGGTTTTCTTCTTCTCGTTGCTGAAGCCCCCTGTGTCTCTCTCAGGGACAAGCTGGTCCAATGGCTTTGGGGAGGGCACCTTCATTTATAAACGCTGGGATTCCTCTGATGGGTTTTGGCGGCGGCTCCTACAGTAGGAAGGACAACGAGGTCCCTGAGAAGGAGCTGCCTACACTGCTGCTCCATGAGGAAGCTCAGGCCTGCACAGGCTCACCAGGCCTTGGTTGCCCTCTGGTTGAGTCAGAAAGCATGAGGACTTGCAGAAGGGGTGTGTGTGGTCCTCATTGCCCTGTCTCAGCTGGTGAATAGAGATCCTGGGCATCTCACAGCCTTAGGAAGGTACTGCCTCTCCATCGCTTTAGACTGCATTTGGAAAAGGAACCCTGGAAATGCACTGAGATCTCCAGTGCATTTCTAGCCAGAAGATCTCAGGCTCTTTTCTCACAGGTTAAAGACTCTGAGCCCCTGACATTGACTCTTAGCTTCAGAAAGTGGCCCTCCATGTGTCATGTGGCAACTAGGGTTCCATGGGAGAGTTTGCCCTAGATCTGGGTCGCAGTGTCTAAGACACAGTTCCCAGGCAACCCCAGCCCAGCCTCCCTAGGATAAACAGAGGTGGGGCTGGCACATTTTGAAAGCCACTGAGCTCACTGTCTCTCCACTTGGAAAGTCCAACTCTAAATCACTGCTGTCAAAGTCCTGTACATCCCTCAAGGTTCTGCTCCAACGCACCTACTCATGAAGCCCTTCTACAGATGATCTCCCTTCCTGTTGCTGCCTCCACTGGTATCTCTAGAGCTGCAGATATGATGCAAACCGGGGGTCATTTCTTCCAGGTGTGGGCACCAGAGAGGGAAACCAATTCAACATTTTATCCCCATCACTCCAAAATGCTTTCTTGTCTCTTTTACCCCACACGCACAACTCCTGAGACTCTCATTCATCAAAGAATGACCAAGAGAGTTGTTCTCCAGTGGCAGAAATGCCTGTGAGAGTTTCCCTTTCTGCTCCTTGAACGCCCTCCTCCCGATCTGTGGGACCTAGTGCCTCATTGCTGATGAGTTTTTGCCTTGGGCTGCTTGGGTACTTGAGACCAGGACTGAGGTTGACACAGCTTTCATGAGGTTACAGAAAAGGGCTACAGATTTGGGAAGTTGTGTGTAACGGTCGTAAGACATTATTTCCATTTGGCTCACACCGGCTTCTCTAAAAAGCAACTACAGCCACAGATAAACAAAAAGCCCTGCCTCCCACCCCACCAGCTGTCCTCCTCCTTCCGCTGTGATGTGGTTTCGTTCTCTCTCTGTAGGTGTATGTGCCACCCCGCTCCTCTGTCCTCTGGGGATCCGCCTTTCCCACGTGTGTCAGGTTCCCACTCTTTTGTGGCTCCTAACATGAAGTGCTGTGATGTTTCTGGCCTGTCTAATGGAAGTATCAAGATTGCTCCGTGTTTCAGTGCTGGAGATGAGGCTGTGCCATGTCTCCCACTGTCCTAAGGGGATACGCTGCTTCTGTGACTTCCCAGAGAGCTGGCAAGTTATGACAGTCTCCAGGAGGATCTACACATTGGAAGCAGCCCACACCTGATGTGGACTCGCTGACCCGGGACTTGCTCTTCATGCAGAAGACTGGTGGCCCATGTGCCAGGACCACCCCACCTCTCTCGCTGCCTTTTCTCCTGTCCTGACAGGGTTCTGGGAGGGGGACCTGTAGCTGATGAGAGAATGACATGGGGATCGAGCAGCCTTCGTCTTTGGGACCCTTCGATATCCCAGCCCCTCTGTGGAACCCTCGCATGTTCACAAAGACTGTCACAAGCCCCCGTCCCTTCCTTGCTGTGGTTAGTATCTTGTTCTGTGATTGGTTAGCAATGTTGACTACCCATGTAGTGACTCTTTTGTCTGCAATTTAGAGAATGTGTAAACAAATAAAAGGCTTTAAAAATCTTGGAAACTTTTATTTTCTGTGGTTGAGCTCTCTAAGAAAGTTAACTGTCTAAGAAGGCTCTCTGTTTCAGTGTTGGAGATGAGGCTATGCCACATCTCCCACCGACCTAAGGGGACATGCTGGTTCTGTGACTTCCAAGAGAGCTGGCAGGTTGTGACAGTCTCCAGGAAGATCTACAGATTGGAAGCAGCCCACGCCTGATGTGGACTGCTTGCCATTTAGAAGACCAACATTTAAGGCACCAATTGCAAATGTAGAGATCCTGTGGGGGTCGAGCCCTTTTGTGTTGGGGTGTGCAGTGAGACTGCATTGTGTGTGTGTGTGTGTGTGTGTGTGAGAGAGAGAGAGAGAGAGAGAGAGAGACACACACACACACATGCATGAGCATCAGGCTCCAGAGAAACACTAGTGCTTTCACGGTTGCAAGTTAACTCCAGGAACAACAAATTCCAGGTCTCAGTTTCTCCCTGGTGATGGACTTCTGACCACGTCATACGTAGCACCAGGGAAGCCACAGTCATGTCGGCAGTTTTTATGGGCACTGTGGGCAGCATAGCTTCAGGCCTTAACTGAGAGCCTCATCTGCAGGAGTAGAGCAGCTCATTATCTGGAGACCCTCAGAGAAGACCCTAGGGCATCCTGAAAGGAGCCTCCTAGATTTTCTGGGGGAAGGGAAGTTGATGACTCAGAGATGATTCACAGAAAGGTTGGGGAATGTGGTAGGGGAGAGAGAGACCTCCAGTGCAGGAACCATCTAGAAGCCAGCTGAGTCATTGCTCCTTCCCTCTCGGCTGCCTTCCATAAAGGCAGTGAGTTGGCTGCCCTGGGCAAGGAGCAAGAGGCATCACAGAGGATACATCTGCCCCTAGAGTCTCCAGAGTCTGCTTAGCCTTAAAGGAACAGCCTCTGGGCACAGGACTCCTGGTCCATGCGGGAATTGGTTTCCAGGGGCTGAAAGTTAAGAGTCAGTCTTCCAAAAATAAATTTTAGATAGATAAATAAAGGCCTCTACTCTATGTTATGTACTGGAGCTGCAGCAGAGAAGACAAAGCTCCCTTCTCATGAGGCTCACAGTCTTGCCAAGGAGGCAGGCACCAGACAGGTATCACCAACATGTGATGAACGGGGTCAAGGGGGTAACTGAGGGAACTAGAACATGAGCTCCCAGTCTCAATCAGTCAACGTGGTTTTAGTTGAAATCTGCTGTGCATTTTGGTAAGACACAGGTGGGCATGGCAGTGGGGAGACACCATGTCACTTCTCATTCCTCCCCTAAGTGAGTGTTCACTGTTCTTTAGTAAGTCATCCATGTGCCTTCAGCCTTTGCTTTTCTAAGCATAATATGGGGCTGTTATTTCAGCAGAGGAGCCGTTGATGGTTGCTGCAGACATGGGCCATTGAGCAGGTTGTTGAGCCATCTCTGCAGTGGGAGTGATGTCTGCGTTCAGGGACCAGAGGAGAAAGGCCAGGCCTTTACTCAAAGCAGTTTCGAGTGACAGCTGGACCTGCAATGCTGCTAATTTCAGCCATCGGGGGGACTTAGGCTCATAGCAAAGTCCAGGCAGCAGAAGATGACACAGACACCCACATTCAGGCCTTTCATCTGCACAGAGAACTGTGCACGTTTCTGTTTTAACCTCAGGGAACTGGGCATTGCATCCTCGTCTGCTACGGTATGAATGTTATGTCTCCCAAAATCCATATGTTGAAATCTCCACCCCCAGGTGATGGTATTAGACGCAGGGACTTTGGGAGGTGATTATGTCATGGGGGGCAGAGCACTTATAAAGTGCCCTTATAAAGGAAGCCCAAGATAGACCCCTTGCCCCTTCACCATGTGAAGGTAGTGTGAGAAGGTGGCTGTCCATAAGGAAGCAGGCCCTGGTTGGACGCTGAATCTGCTGGCACTTTGATCTTGGACTTTCCAGTCTCCAGAATTGTGAGAAATAAATTTGGCTTATTATTTATAAGCCACTCAATCTATGGCCCTTTGTTATAGGAGCCCAAACAGATGAAGACTGTCTTATCCCACCAATGGCCGAGAGAGGGCTTTTGAGAAGCCAATAGATGTGCCATGTTCTGCTGGGCCTGAGAAAGTTAACTATCAACACAGACCAGAAACTGCCATTGCCCTGAGTTGGAGGGATAGAGGAGGGAGGGGGTGTTAGTCCATTTTGTGTCACTAAAGGAGATACCTGAGCCTGCGTAATTTGTAAAGAAAAGAGGTTTATTTGGCTCAGGGTTCTGCAAGCTATTCAAGAAGCTTGGCACCAACATCTGCTTCTTATACGGACCTCAGGAAGCTTCCACTTGAGGAGGAGCAGGTGTGTCACGTGGCGAGGAAGGAGTGAGACAGAGAGAGGGAGGTCCTAGGCTCTTTTCAACAATCGGTTCCGGTGTGAACCAATAGAATGAGAACTCAGTCATTCCCTACTGTTGGGAGGGTACCAAGCTATTTATGAAGGATCTGCCGTCGTGGCCCAAACACCTTCCATTAGGCCCCACCTCCAACACTGGGAATCACATTTCAACATGGAATTTGGAGGGAACACACATCCAAACTATCAGCCGGGAAAACTGGAGGGATCCAAGTTATATAAGTTCAAGCAAACACAGAGCAGAACGACCCTCCTCTGTTTTTTCCCTTGGGGAGAAGAAAAGTCTTGGAATGCTGGTGGAGTGAGGTGGAGAGGCACAGGAAGAAGGGACCAGTGGGATAAGATGTTGATGAGTGGCTCAGCACCCAGCAGTAGAGGGAATCTGAGGGATGGGGTTGCCATAGAGATAAAACATGGTTTTCCTCCCTGGGTTGGCAGAAAGGCTCCTGAGACAGGAATCAGAAGTTCTAGGTCTTGTCTTATTGGCTGGGTGACATTTGACTTTACAGATACAGGCATGAGTTTCTATAAACTCAGCTCTAGACTTGGTGGGTTTGGGGAAGGGGTCATGCAGACCGGGGTGTGCATGTACCAGAGGACCGTGCCTGTCTGTCAGTCCCCATAGCTGGCCTGAGTCAGGGGCCCTTGGGGACATCTGGCCAAGTGTGTTTCCATGCAGTGCCTTGGAATGGCATGATTTAATAGCAGACACGATGAGGCCAGAGGTTTACATTGTTCTAGAACAGTGGTTTTCCAAGCAGATTCTGCAGAGGCCTAGGCTTCTGGGAGGGATTTGGGGATGCCCAGAGATCTTGGGGGACAGGGGTGGAAGGAAAGTCCTTGAGCCCCGAGCCCCAACTTCCAACTCAAACCAGTGACCAGCACAGCTCCCATTCGATCTGTGTCTCCTATTGGTGGTTCTGCTGCTTCAAAAAACACACAACAGTCTGAAACCATCTTTGGGGCTAGATGGTGGGAAGGGCACAGGGGTGTCCCCTGAGGCTGTGGGAGGCAGAGTGATGATGGGAGGCCACCTCCATTCCATGAGCCTCTGCCATGCACAAATGGATGCAGCTCATTCCCGGCTTTGGGTCTAATCTCCACTTGGGGCTTCTCCCTTGGGTTACTCTTAGGAAGAGCAGAGGGACATTGGTGTCATGACCAGGAAGTCCTACTCTGTCTACTCCTGGGCATTCCTGCAGTCTGCAGCACGCACTACCCTACCTGCCCCCACCCTGGCTGGCCTTGGTGTTCTGCTGTCAGGTCTTGTCATAAGCCTCAGCCCCTGTTTTGAACCATCAGCGCTTTTAGCAGGGCCAGAACAACAGTGTGTCCCCAAGGCGGGTGGGTTAGGAATGTTCGGGCTAAACTTCAGGTAATTAGCATTGTTAATGCTCGTTCTGTGATAGTACAGCTGTGAGCCTCATTAAAGTGTTCTCCGGGGGAAGCAAGCTGAGATCCAGGTGTCAGTTCTCTCTGCGCGCAAGCGCCTGCCTGCCATCTCCAAGGCCCTGTGCCGAAGCCTGGCTCATTCCTATCCCCTCCTCCTGCTCCTGCTCCCTGTCTGCTGGCATCTGGGCTGGGCCTGCTTCCCTTCACTGGGATTTGCTTGTTCCCACCCCACTTCTCCAGCACAAAAAGCTCTGTCCCCTCTTTACCCAGAGAGAAACATGCCCACAACAGGGAGTGGAATGGCTGCCGCTGGTCCTCAGTCACTCCAACTCAGCTTTGAAAGAAAGGTTATTCTGCTGCAGGCAGGGAGCCCACACCTGCCCTCTACAGTGCCACGGCATTTTATCCAGGGCCATACCCTCCCTTGCCTCCCAGAAGACCCAAGACCCGGTACCCCCACCTCCTGGCTGTATTTCCTGGGCCCAACTGGCATCTGCTGCAGCAGCCCCGCCTCAGAAAGAAACCGGAGTCCCTCTGGCTTTAATTTCTGGGATTCCTGATTCCTGGGAGGGGAGGCAGGGGACATTTGCCAAACAGAGAAATATGAAACGCTCTTCAACCCCCTTGAAACCTTGAGGAAAATAATGCCATTCCCACCAGGGACTAAACACAGGCTCAACCCAAAACAGAGAGGGAAAACACAATTCCAGAGAGCTTCCCTGGGGCCTGCGAGGAGCTCAGGAGGGGCCCAGACCCTGCGCTGTCTCCTTTTCTGCCTTCCTTAACCCCCTGGGTCCTCTGTGTCCACAAAGGTGCATGTTCAGAGTGGTCATCCAAGCCATTTTGTTGGACACAACTCACTGTCTCATGTGGCTACAGACTTGGAGGATAAAACTTGACAGCAACTCGAGAACTTCCCAGTGGAAGCAACTTGTCAACTGGGGTACAGCATGTAGATTGTTGCCTTTAACTCAGGATGGAACCACAGGTATGTGGTCCCATAGGCACATAGGAAGGGAGATCATCTATAGAAGGGCATTGGAGCAGAACCTTGAAGGATGCATAGGACTTTGACAGCAGTGGTCTGGGATTGGGGATGGGCTTTCTGAATCGAGAGGGTAATTTGAGTAACTGCCCCACCTCCGTTTATTCTAGGGATGCTGGGCTGGGGTTGCCTGGGACCTGTGTCTTAGACACTGCCACCCAGGCTGCACCCCAGATCTAGGGCA